TTTTTTTTTTTTTTTTTTTAGGGTTTAGGGTTTAGGGTTTAGGGTTTAGGGTTTAGGGTTTGTGTTGCAGGTGCCCGGACTTTATTCCCTTTGCTTCTCCACTGTTTCAGCTGCGGCTCCATCATTTTATATTTTCTTGCGCGAAGGCAGCGAAATCTTTGTGTATACCCCAGGGGCAGTTTAGGGTTTTGTGGGCCTCACAAACCCTCGCCGAGGGTTTAGGGTTTACGCTCCCCATACCCACCATAGACTTCAGTGCTCTCGCTACTTTCTGTCAAATCACCAGAACACCACATCTAGATGTATCTACAAACCCTAAACCCTAAACCCTAAACCCTAAACCCTAAACCCCCCTTGGGGAGAGTTTAGTGTATACAGCATATATGAGGCATCTACAAACCCTAAACCCTAAACCCTAAACCCTAGGCGGAGAGTTCATTGTACACAGAAAACATGAGACACACAAACAGTACACAATATCCACTTTAAGCTAGGGTTTAGGGTTTAGGGTTTAGGGTTTAGGGTTTAGGGTTTGTGAGCAGACGCCGCTGGACCTGGCGCAGTACGGCAACTGGCAGCCGATGATCCATCCGCATGAACCCATCGTAAACCCTAAACCCTAAACCCTAAACCCTAAACCCTAGATCGTAAACTCTTTAGTTGCGGTAGGAGACAGCACATGCAGGCATTCCGTCTCCCCCGCCTTTGTGGCAAGCGAAAGGGTTTAGGGTTTAGGGTTTAGGGTTTGTGAGGCGCTGCAGGATAAAGACAGACTCTCGCTGCTGCTGCAAACCCTGCAGTTTCACACCCTCAGCCTTGAGCGTTCTCAGTCTTCTCAGAGGGTAACCCTAAACCCTAAACCCTAAACCCTAAACCCTAAACCCTAGAACGAATCCCCTCTGCTGTGATGAGCCTCCATAAGAGCTATATACAGACTGTGTCAATGCCTAGGGTTTAAGCTTTATTAGGGTTTATGAGGGTTTACGAGGGTTTGTGAGGGTTTACGAGGGTTTACGAGGGTTTACGAGGGTTTGTATGACCGCAGGACCCAGTGAATTTTCTTCGTATCCCCCAAACCCTTTTTCAGTTTGATTTGAGGGTTTTGCCGAATGTAAATGATTTATTTATTTTTAATTTACAAAATAAAAGCGAAAAAACCATCAGCTGTATGAAGCTAACCCTCAAATATGATCCGAGAATCACCGGTAAACCCTAAACCCTAATAAACCCTAAACCCTAATAAACCCTAATAAACCCTAAACCCTAATTTTTTTTTTTGCACAGCAGTGTACTGTAGTGTAGTGAGAATTAGGGGGATTCATCTATATGCGACAAAACGTAACACAACCAAATTCTAGGGTTTAGGGTTTAGCTGCTAGGGTTTAGGGTTTAGGGTTTAGCTGCTAGGGTTTAGGGTTTAGGGTTTAGCTGCTAGGGTTTAGGGTTTAGGGTTTAGGGTTTGTACACTGTGCAGGCTGGAGAGGTGAAGGCGCGCCGCCGCCGCATCCTAAAAGCGGCAAAAACCGCGGGGGTGGTAAGATACGCTAAACCCTAAACCCTAAACCCTAAACCCTCGGTCAAATGCAAACAAACCCTAAACCCTAAACCCTCGGTAGAATGCATACAAACTCTAAACCCTAAACCCTAAACCCTCGGTCGAATGCAAGCAAACACTAAACCCTAGGTCGTGGAACAACCTAGGGGGATCCAAAACCCTAAACCCTTGATTGCATGCAAACCCTAAACCCTAAACCCTAAACCCTAGAAAAAAAGACAAACCACCGTTGTAGTCTTAATGCAACAGGATATGAATACGAGAAAAAACCTTAAACCCTAACGTTGCTC